GTGGGTTGAGTGTATGCTCCTTATCTGTGAAGGTGTTTTGCCAGGAAATCGTGTCCGGTACGTAGTCTTAACTCAGCAACGGCTTCGATTCTTGGCCAGTCGGCTATATCGGAGAGTGCCACTGTCCACTGTTTCTCCGTTGTTCGAGCTTTAAGTTCGTTGCACCTTGTGGTCTTGAATTCTCTCCTGATTAAGGTCTTCATTGTGTGGAAAGACATCGGCCGGTCCATGCATTGGAAAACCGTTGTCCCCTTCTTAGCAAGTGTGTCAGTAAGCTCATTGCCTTTAATGCCACAGTGACCAGGAATCCATTGTAGGACCACTGTTTTGTCTTTCTCTCTCAGCAGCTGATGGAGCTTTTTACATTTGTATATCTCAGCTGTTTTGGGTGGCTCTCTGTTTCCAATTGAGTTTATTGCTGACTGTGAGTCCGAAATTATCACCGCTTTGGTGAATTTTGTAACCAGATAACACAACTGGATTAGTGCTATCCTAAGAGCCTCTATTTCTCCTTCGAAAGCGGATCTACTGTGTCCCACTGCTGCGTAGAAAGAGAAGAGTTCAGAGTAGTCACCTGCACCAAGAAAATATTCTATATAAATTCGTTTTAGCGGTTTTACTTCAACCTATAGACAATAAGGTTATCCCTCCCTTCACCTTACGATATGTGTTGGTTTTAATAATGGTAAGTATTATTATCTCAAGTGGCAGGCTTTATGACATTTCTCATTAGTCTCTGTGTGTTGATTTTAATCGACTTTAAATTACGTAACTTATAAAACTCTGCCTATCCGAATTTGTACAATGGGAATGTAGCTAATAAGTAGATTTTCAAACACAACAGTGTAAAAGGTTGATTCTCAATTATAATTATTAAATGTAGTCCAAATGGGTAGTGTTTCATAAGAAATATGATTGAAATGAAGGAGAATTACCTTTAATTGAAAGTGGTGAGCAGAGTGATGACATAACGTATTGCGCAATTTTAACATCATTGAATAAACTTTCTGAATTATAAACTGGGACGAAGAGTTTTTTACTATTCAGCTCTGACTTATTCAAATTAAGTCTAAACTTCATTCAGATTTTAATGTTTTGTTTTTCAAAATTATCGAATTTAGAAATGAAAATTTAAATATTTTTTTAAATTTGAGAAATTTATTTTTTACCTTAATTAAAATTTTGTTTTAGATTAGAGGGCACTTTATTACTTATTATTTATGAAGAATTTGTGATATTTTTGCACTAAATAAACAAATATTTTATACCTCCTATAGCAATTGTATTGAAAACGTCGCATTAATGCTTTAAAAGTACCAACTTAAATGGTAAGCGAGATCTCATTAATGATATTTCTTAGTAAGTATTCCTTTGAGGCAGACACTTATAATTAGAACTGATTCATGAAAAGATTTATCCCCTTCAATAAAACAAAATTAATTATTTAACCAAATTACCATGATTCACTTGGTGTGTTGGTCTTTTTTTGATAAGATTTCTATAGGAGTTGTAAATTTGACTTAATATCTAAGTAAATGCAATAATTGAATATATATTAGTAATAAAATGGTAGTAAACTAATGTTGTCATCAAATTTATTTAGGGAGATGTGGTCCCCGCATGCACATTGCCATGCTCATTCTACTCCTACGAAACAGACAGATCGACATCAACATGGCCAACTAAATCATGGCAGTTGGCCTGGTTGAACACCAGTATTGGACGAACTGTTCTTAAGATGCCGGAAATGTCCGAATACCGACGGGCCATAGAATTGCTCAATCACTCCGTGGATGTTAATGAAACCACCACGCGAGAAGTCCTGCACATTTTGGAGCGGAATAATGCTCTTGAACGCAATTTACTCGCAATTACAGTAGTCCGACCTAACTGGAACTTACATAAGGTTAGTTGATAAATTCTTCTCTTATCACCAATTATACGGAATATCTACTAACCTTATTACCAATCATTGACAAAACATATTGAGCTAATTAAAGGAGCTTTAAAAACAATACTGAATTAATTGCTAGGTTTAAGGCTTCCGATTCTAAAGTATAGGACTCTAAATTTTTGAAATGCAACCTATTTAGAGAATTAAATCAGAATTAGAAAAGAATCTGTTTGTTGAATATAACCCTTTCAAATGGAGGGCTTTTTGAATAGTTATCATTAGCCATTAAGCTGACTTCGGGCTTCACAGAGGGAGGAACATCAATTCGAGAGGGGGAACAAAATAGTGATTCACAGATGCAGAAGAGACAGACAGACACAAAGGCAGAGAAAAAGGGAGATGCGTACCGTGGAAGTTGTGGAATATGACAAACAGTGGGGTCATGGTAGTTTGAAGTCAGAAGTGAACTGCCTGTTTATAGTCGTTTGTGTCGTATGAGTATACGTTGTCCAGTGTGCATCACGTGAAGGTAAGTCTACCGCACACCTCGCTTTTAGTTGAATATAACCGTTTCAAATGGTAGATGGAGATGAAACTCACCGAAGATGAAATGTAACCTTTGAGTCTTCCAATCAATGATCTCGAAGGTAAAATCGATCACATCTCATGTCCAATTCATCTCCTTCATAAGGTCCTTGAATAAAGTTGCTTATTAAATAACGAGGAAGGAGATAATGATAATATACATTAGCAATTATCCGCCGCCACAACTATGGCTTGAGTCTTTCAGTGATCAAAAAATTATCATTAAATTTTGAATATTATAAAACGGATTTTGATAAGAAGTTATAAACTCCGAGTTATTTAACCAAATGAGATCACTAATTTTTTAGAGTTAAATAAATTTCTGTTTGAGCAAATTTTAATTGTTCATTATTGTTAAAATTTAAAAGACAGAAGGAAAATCGAAATTATTTATGAATGTTATGAAATGGTTTGTGTAAAAGTCAACCGGCTTTTCAAACTCGGTAGTTAAAATGAATTCTTTGTATCATGCAGACAGAGCCAATATTATTTTGAAAAAAAATAAAAATTCATTTTAAATAACTAATAAATAATAATATATAAATAATTAAATAATATTCACTCAAATATCATTGAAAATTTTATTAAACTTTTGACCTTTTCAAACTGCAAGTGAGGAATTATGAAATCGGTTTTCAAGGAATAGCATTTTTTCGCACATTCAATACCAGTTTAATTTCTGTTTTAAGTTAAGTGTTTGGAGACTCATAAATACTTAAATCCGAAGGAAAGAAAAAATAACTAATCCTAAAACATTTTATAATCCTGAGCGTCTTTGTCACTGCAAATTGATTACTTTAAAGGAAATTAAAATTCTCTCTACGAATATCACTCTGGTTGTAAAGGTATTAAAAGTAAAAAGTAAAATCAGTAAAAATTTTGAGGGTGGGATTGGAATCATTCAAATTGCTCTCAATTTTGGTGTATGCTTCCTCCAGACTTCAAGATTTATGCAAATTAATTGCGCTTGGGAATTTTCTAGTGAATGCAAGCTTTCTTTCATTAAGATCAACGCTTTCTGCAGTTCGATCTGAATATACAAAAGGCTAAGTTCAAATGAAAGCTATTTGAATATTCGAACAACTTTCATTTGTAAATAAGGAAAGCGTAGCTTTATTGGTCAAAGTTATGATTAATTCATTAAAGCTTTCTCTGACTCTCTAAATTTACATTATGGACGAAACTTTGGTGAAATTGACCTTGTATTTACAAGCCACAAACGAGTGGTTCAAAGCGTTAAACCATAATGAAAATATCGCAATATAAGGAAGGCATATTCTAAATATTCGCGTGAGTGGACTGTTACAATTTCTGTAACACTTCTAAGTCCACATTGACCTAAGAGTTGCGTTTTATAATCGAATTATTTTTTATTGTTATTTTATTTTTATGAAAAAGCAGCCTTAAATGCAAGAAAAATTAGTCGATATTTAAATTATATCTATGTGAGCAGATACCAAATTAACTTCATTACATTAATTAGAATGTGCTCATCGATCGCAAGTAAGAGAGTGGAAAGTCTACAATTTGTGTTTAAATTAAACTTTTCTCCAATATAGTGCCAAATATTTCGATTTCTGCATGATCGCACCTATTGTTTGACTTTTCACATGAAGTTTGTTGCATGAAACTTTCCCAATTTCTACTTCTCATGCTTATTTTCAGCTAATGGATAATTTTGTTAGGAACCACAAAAGTAGGCAACAAAAAAGTGCTGGCACTTGGATTATTTTCAGGCTGTTTGTGTTTGCCCACTAATATTAATAATAAAACAATTAGTTATTTTATAAATTGAAAAGGCTTATTGGTTTTTCGGAGTTACCAATTTGCACTTTTTACTACATTTTCAATGCTTTTTTTCAGAGTGCATTTAGTGTCTCGTATCTGTCTCACCCACGATAGCCGGGACATTTTTTGCTATTTATACACTTCCATCTGGAATAATAATACTATTAATACCGATTAGTTAAAAATCATATGGAGTATATGAATTGGATACTAGAAATTTGAGCTATTAGACTCCATTGCACTGAATGAAGAGAGAGAGATAGAGCCCGATTACAACCATTATGCATACCTTACAAACAGTGTACTATTGCTTTCAGTTTATTAAATTATCAAAGTGTGTTGTAGAGTTATAGACAAGGAAATACAGTCCTCGGTTCGTTGAGCAACCTTGAATTGGGATTAGGTACATAAAAGTTCACCTGCCGAGGCACAGAAATGAGTAGTCAATTTTTTTCCTTCGTGCTCTACATTATGGAGAAGATGATTCTCTAAGCTAACAGGTTCATTTGCACCCCAGTGGCAATCAGCGCCCTTGATGATGGAGGTATTGCAAGAGGAACAATGTACTTTTCGAGTAAAATATTTACTTTATTTTCTGTGAATTAATTCCTTCATATATATTATTAAGCTTAATACTTTTATTACAATTCATTAGATATAAATAACCTGATCGATCAATTGTCTAAATAAATTTCCAAAGTTAAACTCAAAATTTGTGTTCTTGTATGCGTATACTGAATATAATTCTGATTTTATGGATGATTTGCATTGTGACACATAGGTGGTCAATTTTAAATAGCACTGAAGGTAGAAAATCACCATTCAATACCCAAATCAGCATAAATAATTTTCGTGAAATAATAACGTCATAGAGAGCTCAGGATTGAGAAGGTTCCATGAAAACAAAATAATCTTCCCACGTTTATAGTTAACACTAATATGTTTACTGACTTAATGTCCAACGGAATTCTAATTAGTTGAACATTGGTGGAATTTCCAACCTAATAAAATTTTCATTCGATATAATTTTCATCACCGAGTGATACGTCCGATCTGTACGCATAACAATTTTAAACAAAATTTTTAACTATTATTTGCCTCAATTTCTTTTATATTAACACTACTTTCTTTATAAATTTCAAGGTCGCAGAAAAGGAGGTATTTTCTTTAACGAGTTTCCTCTCGCAAACGGGCGGTCTGCTGTCAATTTGGATAGGCTTAACAATGATATGTGTAGTGGAAGTTCTTGAGTTGATTATCAACTGCTGTTGCGTCTATATGGCCAAAAGGCGAGAAAACCAAGAGCAAGACAACAATAGCAAGGAGGTGGGATCCACTCAAACCCAATCCCCAGTGCACAAAAATTCCAAGCGCAACAAGCACAATAACAGGAAGAAGACAAGTAGTAGCAAGGAGGATGACGCTGCCTCCAAATGTGTAGTTGTGCCTCTTGACGAGTATGAAGATACCGCTGATTGACCAGTTGAACGGACCTTGCAATTTTCCAGGTTTTTTTTGGTGTGTGTGCTCAAGCACTTGACATTACTGGCTTACTTTTGTGAATAACTACGTGTGTGTGTGTGTGTGATAGTCCAGCGCGCTGTGTACAGCCTATTTTAAAAGCCTCTTTTGATTCTGACTCCTGCTTTTCCAGATTTTGCTCCGACCCACTCATACCGACCACTCAACCTCTTACAACTCCCTTCCATTTCCATACACACAAATTCAAGGTGATCTAAATACAAGATTCGTATGAAAGGTTTTATTCTATTTAATATGGTTACACGAATGGGCTAGAAGGAGAAGATCAATGACCCCCCCCCCAGTTTAAGGTTTCGAATCATTATCATGTTCGATTTTAATTGGCTTAGAATGTAAGGAAATCGGAATGTAGAGGAACTGCATTCCATGGAGAGCATGACATTAAAAAGTGTTGCAAATTAATTCAAACTGCAACGCAAAAGATTAATTGTAACGAAGCAGAGCTACCTTGAACAGTGCTAACACACTTTCCCCCAAAGTGAAATCGCGTTTATATCCATGTTTATATATCATTAATATTAAATGGATGCGTGATAAATGAACATGTTGCTATAACTAAACAAACAAAATAATACAATTACAAGTTAAATTGGAGCATATATTAAAATAAATAAAATGAAAAAAAGTAAAACTATGAGCTAAAAATTCAGTCGTGAATGGCCTTAAAACAAGTTGTCAATCCGTCATTCATTCCACCCCATACGGTGGTTTACTTATAGATCTTAGCAGGTTGGCATTGTAGGACAGAGAACGCCCCTATATATGTAAATCATTTGACAGCTCAATAAAGTTTATGAATTTCTTTGCGAATATAGATGTTCATGGATCACTTCCATCTAACAGTGCACAGCATGTTTGCTTAAAGGAACACAAAATTTCAAGCTGCGGCGATAGGAGTATTACAGAAATAAAAAATATTATTTTAAAATAATATTTGTTATAGATGTGTTCTTAATCTGATTTAAAGTTCCATACAAAAACCTCGTCTAAGTCAACATCAACAATGGATGAAATTGTGAAAATTGACCCAAATTTAAGTATAAAAAAGCTGCATCATATTGGAGAAGAAACGTTTGCTAAAGCGTTTAGTGGCGCTAGTTTTTCCA